GTTGAGATGTTGGTTGAGGGGTACATGTTGTGTTCTAAGTTGGAAGATTAGTTAGTTTGTTTGAGTAGGTGTTTTACGGCACTATATATCGACTCAGTTTTGGTCTACAGATTTGTTGAAGCAATGAAAAGTTGAAAAGTGTAAAGCACACTTGCTTGATGAAGCCGCCCCCCCCCCCCCCCCCCTATATGTTGGTACTTACCGTATAAGTATCCCTTGTGTTGCTCGTCAGGACCGCCTTGGTGTAGATGGTGTCATTCACCAAGAAGAACAAGTCACCTCCATTCGTAGAAGCAGAAACAATTGTATACGTCAGAGGATCCTAAAATAAAACAAATTAATAACAATTATAACAGAAGTTTTAGTTTTAGTAAGAGTTTTACGGCACTTGCAACACAAGTAGGTTATATGAGAGCGGAAGAATAGATTATGTGTTACAAGAGAATAACATACACAAAAAAGGAGAGGAGGTAAGGACGACAGATGTTTGATAGTAAAGAAGGAGCAAACCACACCAGAGCACCTGCTAACCACCCACTCACATCTGTTTGAAAGATGAGAGAAAAAGTAAATGGGTTAAGGCAGTGGGGGAAAAAAAGTTAAGACAAAATGTTGAAGAAGTATGAAAGTGAAGGGTCCTTCCCACGTAGTAGTCAAATCTATTTCAGCTGACATGAACCAAATGAACTCACCACTGTAGTCTTTACCTCTCCCCTTGACTGTTAACCACATAATATGCACCTCACGCGCTAAAAAAAAAAGTTCTAAAGCGCACAAGTCGTCACAGATCACAATCTCTTTAGTTTTAGTTTTAATAGAGGTTTTACGGCGCTCGCAACTGCATAAGGTCGGATGAGCGCCAGAAAATTAGAGGTGTTACAAGTGAATAACTAACATAAAAAAAGAAGAAAGGGAGATAAGGACGATAGATGTTTGATACGAAAGAAGGAGAAAACCACACCAGAGCACCAGCCAACTACCCACCTCAATCTCTAATCAATAGTTTTTTCGCTTATTATAAGAAACAGAAAGGCTTTTTGATTGATTGATTGAGTAGATGTTTTACGGCACTATCGACGCAAAAACAGAAAGGCTTTTTGATTGATTGATTGATTGAGTAGATGTTTTACGGCACTATCGACGCAAAAACAGAAAGGCTTTTTGATTGATTGATTGATTGAGTAGATGTTTTACGGCACTATCGACGCAAAA